TTTAAGAAAGAAATGGGCTACGAATTTGAACAAGGTTTTAGTCTGCCACGCAAGATGGACGGAACGCTTTAAAATCAATATCTAAATTTTACTGTTCTTTTCTTGAATTGTAGCACACTCTCATTAAAATTCGAGAACAACAGCCTCGACCTTCGTATTTTCATGCTACATATAGGCTACAAGACTAGCAAGCCGAGCATTTGCATCTCAACTAGCTAAGGCTGTGCTGTAAATTTGTGCAAAAATGGAAACGAATTTTTTATTGCGTACCGTTATCTAATCATTCATCTCAAATACATGCAAGCATGAAATTGCTGAAGCATGTTTTGGATTTATTCGAAAATGCATAGAATTTGCATCTTTTAGTGCGTAAAAACTCTCGTAATCCGCTGCGATTTCGAAGAACTCATGTCTGAAAAATTGCAGAGCGACGGAGGCGCTCGAGTAACAGGTTACGTTGTTGAAAAACGTGACTTGACTAAAGATGAATGGACAGAAGTAGCAACATCGGTCAAGGATACTAATTATTTGGTTGGTGACTTGTTCGAAGGGCACGAATATGAATTTCGAGTCAGTGCGATCAATGAAAATGGACAAGGCCCACCACTAGTTGGCGATCAGTCGGTGATTGCACGTCTGCCTTTTGATCCACCATCATCTCCAGGAAAACCCGAGGTACCTACTACTTTTAATGTTGCATGTTTTGGAAAAGAGTTGTTATGGTTATTTATTAGATATTCAAGAAATTTGGTGTTCCAGCTTTTTGATGTTCCAAATGTGACAATAGTTTTGAAGAATCAAAAAGCAAATTTTTATCAGTGCGATTTCAGATCACAGACATTAATGAAGATTTTCTAACACTGAGCTGGATTCGTCCACAGTCCGACGGAGGTGGCCGTATCCGAGGCTACCTGATTGAGAAGAAGGAAGCAGGAAGCGATGTCTGGCAGAAATGCAATCATAATCCAATTCCATCAACATCTTACAATGTAACAAATCTAATTGAGGATCGTGATTACGAATTTCGTGTATATGCAGTTAATGATGCAGGGAATTCGGAACCCTCTGTCAGGTATCCTTGGATTATTCCTAACTAGCTCTAATTGATTGCTGGTGACGTGCATTTAGGGCCAGAACTCCAAATTTTGCTGAAAAAATTTTGCGAATTGCTGAAAACAGGCAAGAAGCTAAATAAACAGACATCTTTTTGATTCAGCGACATCATCAAATATTCATATTCACCGACTGGGCAAGCGCCGGAAATTATTACGCCGTTAGTCGATCTTTACGGCGAACATGGACGATCTGTGACATTTGAATGTGTGATAACTGGTAATCCACGACCTGAATACCGCTGGTACAGAGGTCTGCGAGAGCTCACGGAAACTTCTAAATACAGCATCTATGATAAGGGCGACACTCAGGTATGTTACCAGTCCAAGTAATGAATGCTGCGTTGAAAAAATACTTAAAATGTATGTCACATCCTATACCGCTACACACTCAAGCGGCTAGCTAGGCATGGTAACTACTGCCATCTTGGTAATCGCGATTGCTTCGTATTTTTGAAAAAATTTATTTTATTTTTGGCCTTGACCACATTATTGCGATATAGTATGGTCCTTTCAGTTTGGAAATTTGAAGACATTG